TCCTCCTCGGACAATGCGAGCACCAAGGTCTATAGGATCCTCCAAGAATGGACAAGCCATTTTTCAAGAGAGCTCATTGGTCAGTGGGCCGGTTTTTATACTCTGTGAGTTCAATCTGGAACCTAACCTTCCCCGGAGCAGGTTAGCCGTTCAGCGTATGTTGCCATGGAGACTCGCCTCGCTAAGAAGTGAACCCGTGTCAGAGAACAGGAAACCCCGAACTTATCCTCGAAGTTACCTGTCATGTCTGGAAAGGACATGTCTGGTGCGTGTTAAAAGCGCATGTTGAACAGTACTATTTCAGGGTGATAATGGCATCAAAGATTTTTTGCGCACTATATTTACGCCTTGAGACTGTCTGCAATTTTCTGCCAGCATTCCTTCTATGCTTTTGCAGCAGCGACTGTGTTGCTTTTGAGGTTTATGATAGATTTGATTTCTTCATACTTTCTCATGATCGCCTCCTGCTGCTTGTTTATAAAGTATGTGGTCCTTCATTCTCCGGCCTGCTCTGACGCTACAGACTGGTCCATGTTCGCGATTGGTCAGATGTGGTAGGCTCCGCCTTACATGCGTGCACTCACTCATAGCAAAGCTGGATCCACTTACGAGGTTGATAACCAGCACCGTAAGACCAAATAGCGAGACCGCTGGCTACCACGCTAAGTTGAGCAAGGTAGCTCCAAGGCTACCTCGCTAGGTTGAACTTGCTTCGTAGAACAGGCCCCAGATCTGCCAGTCTAGATTTATTGGTACAGCTCACATACCATCCCAAAACAGAGGCTGTTGTGCAAAAAATAATTCTTATTGATTGACATTTCTGAAGAATCACATATAACATACATCACAGAATCATCCTGTTTTCGGACCTTATCACTTCACTGATTACAGAGGTGAGCAAGGGGGCATTTTACTTTAGAACATGACTGCTTGGTCTAGCTAAATATTCCCATTTCTACACACTGTATCTTTAATATGCTTTATGTACTGCCATATATTATCAAAATGTCCATATAAAGCCTCATATGAATGTTCTCCAACAGCCTTTTTTTTTTTCTCATGATGAAAACAGGAGAATGGCATGGCAAACAAAATACCTCCAAAGTCAAACTGCTATTCTTAATTCTATGTACGTATATGGACATGGATCCAATATTTATCCAAAACTATTTGCTCAACGTGTACCATTTCTATGATTGAACTTATCATCAACAGAGCCAAAATCATGGACTAGTTCAAACTTTGTATAGTCCATCTGGCATTTCTTTGATTGTTGTTGAATTACACAGGGGAGAAAAAAGTTGTCCACAGAAGTATAAACCTGTGTAAAGCTTGTCCTACAAGTCCATTTAAGTCTGTGTGTATGCCCACTTTCCTTTCAGTGTGTTTATGTGAGAGCCCACCTGTCAGGGTGTGTGTATCAGCTGTGTATCAAATTCAGTCTTGGCTCTCAGATCTGACGTTAACCTCTCTACGGATGTGGGATAGAGGATTACCTGCATTACCTCCACCTGATTCTTATCACCTGCACCGGCTCACTAACACTCTACATAATCTCCATCAGCGACAACATGAAAGATACTCCGTCTGATACACTTTAGCACATTATCTGCATACCACAACAACACCCAGGGGTGAGGTTAGAGGGGCAGATGAAACTTTGAAGGGGGTTACATTGAAGGTGACCGAAAAGCTAAATGATGAAAGGCCTGAAAGCTGAAAATAGAGACAAGGGATTGTGAGATCAAGACATTTTCCCCTGAGTCTGAAGGTGAAGTCTTTGCTCTATTGGCTCTGATAAGACTTCATCAAATGCAATTGTGGTTCACAGCTATGACACAATTGAGTCTTTTTACTTGTCACCTTTAGAGAGAGGACACTGGAAACAGGGATGTAGGAGGAGGTACAGAGGCAACATCAGCAAGATTAGACTATGTGATAGAGGGCGTCATGAGAGGACACAGGAGTGAAGGAACTGTCTCATAAATCTGCAGCCTTTTAGATAATCAGCTGAGAAGTGAGGGGGGAAAATGAAGAGTGAAGACTTTTCACTCAGCCTTCTCAGTTAATCTGTCTCCACTTGGACAAAGCTGCCACCCATGTCATTCAATCCCATCACTGCTCCAGGCCGCGTGCTCGCCCTCCTCTTTCTGTCAAACACTTCACTCTCTTCCCCATCAATCCATCCAAGAGGCCACCTTTGGTCACATCCACTGGGCTGTGCAGGGAGGCAGGTTCAGGCACGCCTTCACAGCTCCAGACCTCAGTCTACAAAGGATTTTATTAATCACACTGAAGGCTTCACTAAATAACAGCGGACATAGTCTTTTAAGATGTGTATTCTGAGCAGCGTCAACCTGCTGCCCTCAAGTGTCAGTAACCTTTACAGAGTGGTCTGAGATGGACTTACCAACTCTGGACTGATTCCCAGGTGATCAAGAGGAGTGGAGCATTAATCCTAGTTTCACTAACTGACTTCAACACTTCACAGTTTTTTATGAATTACTTGCTTTTCTATTGGCTCAGGGCACCACGGTAAGTGGTAGTGGATAACTGCCAGTTACCCGGTTCTCTTGCAAAACATGGCAGTGCCTGTTGCAAAAAGGTATCACCTCCACCTGGAGTGGCATTAGTATTTTTTTTATCTGCTCAGACCGCAAACTGATTGAATGCAATACCAGTGTGGCATCAGTTTAGGTCAGTTGGTAGAGCTGGAATGTACAGAGGCTACACTCCTTGTTGCACCTCGTTGCCTCTGGTTTGTCTACCGGTCATAATTATCTCAAAAAGGATGTTTAACTTAAATCATCAGCTTCTGTGGTCACATTTTCATCCCCATTTATTTAAAAAGCTGACTGTTGTTTGGGAATATGCTGCATCTTTTATGCCAGAGGAATCTGCTTCAAAGTGCCAAATGATCCCATTGCACCAGCAACAAATTTGTACAAGCTGCTGAAGTGATCAGAATTGATTTCAGTGCTGCAGAGTAAGAAACCAAGCACATAACTTTGGTTTCAAGAGTCTGGATTTTGGGGTGAGGTGCATTTGAAATGCAAGACTCTCCACTTCTGTCCTTCATTTCAACTTTTCTTTCTTCAGTTCAGTTCTTCAAATAGATCCACCAATAAGCACTATCACCCCCCGCACACAAAGACGTAACTCTTTAAGACAATGAATGTACAGCTACTTCAAAATGACCATCACTTTAAATTTGCAGTTCCTTAATTCTCAGACCATGTCACAGAGAAAATAAATAAATGAACTTTTAGCATCCTGCATGGTCTCTCAGACTTACATCACAGGCCAATTACAATAATTTTGACTTGAATCAAGACCACAGCCCCAGGACAGACTGGAGCAATGAAAAGAGGAGAAGAAAAAGAGCCTTAACACAGAGACGGAGCTCTCAGAGGTCACAGGCAATCTCGTCTTCCCTCGTCTTGTGGGTTTGTGGTAAATCCTCTCACTCCACATGTTGGCATTTCACCAAACAGGAAGGTCACTGATAGTACCAACTTTAAAGTTTTTAAGTTAGAGCACCCTGTAGGATGTAGATGGATTTTAAAGAGTTTCTGAAGTTAAACTCGAGGTGAAGCCTTTTCAGGCATCCTATATATCACACGATGCTTTCATTTAACAGTTTTAATTTGTCAGATTAAAAACTGGTTCAAAAGTGAACAGTTTTCTACTAATATTTGAGAATGCTTTGAAGATTGTACAACTGTGTTTGGGTTAAGGCTTGTGCAATATACGAGTACTAACAAAGACTAATTTTTTTTATGAAATACTGATACTGAACTTAGAATAAGTTTATAATAAAACTATGGGTATATTGTAGCGTGTCCTTAACTTTGCCAGTCACACATCATAACAAGGAGAGAAGAAGAAGAAAAAGAAGAGAAGAAAAAGAAGAGGAGGAAGAAGGAGAAGATGAATCAGCTGCAAGCAAGCTCCTGATGTGACACTTTTCAAAACTGAAATTCAAAGATTAAATATTAATGCAACAAGAGTTTATAAGCTTAGGTTATGAATCAATTCATTATGTGCACAAGCGTTGTCATGAACTTCCGTATGCGGCAATAGTCAGTGATCCTGTTCTGTTGCATCCTCTGCTTCCGTCCACATCGTTGCAAAACATGTAAGTCTAATGTTCTAGCAGATGTCTCCAAGACTTGCCAAAGATACTCTTAAAATGGTGTTCACTGCCTTGTTAATTCCTGTTCCCTGCTCAAAGAAACAAGGGGAAAAAAACTCTCTTCTCTGCTGTTTCTGAAATGTGGTTTATTGTGTTTTTAGAAGAATGAGAAACATGAAAAGCCAGAGGCATGAAAGTTACCATAAACACTGAACACATGTTCAAAAGTGTCTTCTTACTGATGTTTAAAAATTACTCACCAATTACTTTTAGTTCAAAGTAATGATTTTATTAGTGTTCATATCACTGTACTGTGCAAGTTCACTGTGTAAGGCACAAGCCAACAAAGCAATCAAGTCTAAGGGCATATTTACTTTTGGCATCTTTGACTTCAGGCAAGTAAAAACAGGTGTTGGATCTTAGGCTGCATTAAAGAAAACACTTATTCACCCCTATTCAGCGCCTCTGTTTCAAAGTTATTCATGTGCAAAATACAAGAAGCCACCGGACAGGCTAGGGCATGGACAGATGCGGATATGGATGTCCTGTAAACCATGTTCGTGTTTGTAAGCGGTAAATCTCTTCACAGCTCGCTGAACTGACAGGAAGAAAAGGTGTGATGGATGGAGAGAGGAATGAGAAAAAAAAGATGGGAGGATAAGGTCACAACACTTACATCAGTTGGGTAGAGAAACAGCTGACTGGAGGGTAAAAAGTGGAAGTCAGGTATTTTGTGTACAGTAGGAAAACAGAAAAGGCAATTTGTAAGTGACAAAAAAGTGTTGACAAAATGAATAACGTACTGAAAGTTTGTGCAACAAAAAGCAGGTCAGATGGCGCCTGGTGGTTTTTAGTGTTAAGGTCATGGTCTGACATTGTTATTCAAAATATGGTCCATTTATATATATATACATGTAAATGGACCATATTTTGAATAACAATGTCAGACCATGACACCTCACAATGAGAGCAAAAAAAGTTCAGTCTGTCATTATTTGGAGTCATGTGTAGGGTCTCCTACTTTTTTTGTCTTTGTTTTTTTTTAAACATCTTTTAAGATTTTTTAAATCTTTCACCGAGAGTCAGAACCATAGATTATATTTCAAGATAATATTCTCTAATCAAACTCCCTTTACCATTGCACCATGTATACATGTGAAACTTTGCATATTTGGATGTAAATATACACCCCAAAAACTTATTGATTAATAAAAAAAACATGTATTCTACACTGCTAGGTGAATTTAGAATGAATACCACTCAAAGATGAGGGTGAACAGTAACTTCATGACATTGATGACTACATCAGAGCGAGTCCATAAAGCCTGATATTCAAATCATATTCTTAACAATACTATTTATGAAACATGGAAAGCAAAACCCACCTCTGCTTATGTCAGCACTCAGGGAAGTGTTACACTGGCTTTACTCTGGATGTGATCAAGTCAACAGTTAACATGTCTCACATCCTTCTCATACAGCGAAAATCTAGAGAACAGGAGCCACAGTGGAAAATAATAAAAAATGATAAGTTGAGGGCTGTATTGACATTTTAATGTTAGGCTGTTTATGGTCTTATTTTGGTTAAACTCACTGGAGATACAAAGCTGACAGCAGGAACTCTGCAGCCAACATGTGGCCTGTGTGAAAGTTGCGATGGAAGGAGCCAGGACTGTCCTGCTCATGAACATGTCAAAGGATATTAAGATGTAATATTCTGGTATTAAGTCTCAGTAGCATCCTGCTCCATCGTCCAGCTAACTTTATTGTCACATCCAAAGCCAAGACTCTGGCCATTGCCTGTGCTTTTTCAATCTCCTGCTGTTGCTCTTGTTTGTTTATGTGGATTTTAAAAGAGTAGGAGTATTAAACTAAGACTTGTTTCATAACTACTTGAAGAGAAATCCTTTCGACCACATTGAGTTGCAATCCACAAATTAGCCCACGATGTTACATCCACTGCCACACGGGAGTTCATTTTCAATAATGCAGTGTGCTAAAATGAGAATTATAGCCTGCAAAGTCAGATAAAAAGTCCCCTTGAGCCTTAAAGTACAAATACTTTGGACCGAAACATAACAGTTCAAGTGGAACAAGCATTCAACATCAGAAACTCATTTTAACAAGCTACAGGAGAGCCTGCTTCAGGGGCTATTATCTCTTTTTCTTTGGATTTATTTCTCTTTCTTTTTCCTCTAAAACAGCCACACAGACCGATTTATTAATGAACACACACAAAAACAGGAGAGCTTTATTCTCAGGATGGAGATCTCTTGCAGCAGCAGAGGACAGATTTTGCTCTGGGCTTAATGATGGTTTAAAGACATGGGCCAGTGCTTCAGAACAAAGTGCCAATAGAAAAAGTATTGTCTGTAATAAAACCATCATCCTGAAAAGCTCTGGAGTACCTCAGGTTTGTTGATTCAGCTTTATGATTGGACATTTTTAAGGATAGGCTTTTTGTTTTAAAAGTACATTCCTGTTTCAGAAGCTTGTTTTTGACTGAATTGTTTTTTAATCCTTTGTTTGAGCTTGAGTTTGACTCTGCTTTTCTACATGATTATATAACTACACAGAGTTATCTCATAAAGAAATAAATAAAAAGTTAAGACCACTAGGTGAGTCCACAGACTTTATATAGAATGGACGCTGTCTGCCTCCTTGCTGGGTGAAGCCACCATGAGAAAAGCAGCCTCTGGCGACGGGCTGCAGTATAGGTCATAAATCCCGCCTCCTCCAGCAATCCCTATGGAGCTGTGGACAAACTTTAAAAATTTATTACACAGAATATACATTTTTTTACCCCCCGGGTTGTGATGTTGATATGTATTTACTGTCAGACAGGTTTGTGCTGAAGTCCTCTTTTTTTTCTGTGAAGCTCCGTTTTTAAATGTTATTAGGAGGTGCATGTTTTCTATGATTGACACCTGATACAGCCTATGGGTGTACGAAGATTGCATAGCTCAACTGGGGGATAGGCTGTTTGAGCAGAGCGTCATCACAGAGACTCTCCCGCCGAATGTGTACAATGCTACTGCGTAAGTGGTGGTTTCAGGAAGTGGGGGAAAATCCTGGAAATACTGATAGGAATTTGACTTCAAATTTATATAATGACAGAAGGCGGAGCCAATTTGTCCATAGTATATACAGTCTATGAGAGAGTCCCATCAAAAGCTTGTAAAAGTCTTCTTTAAAGATTGTACTTCTGTGTGATTTGACAACAAGATCCAAGGAAATGATCTTTGAATGTGGATGTAATAACAATTTTAATGGGGAAAAAGGGCATTCAAATACTGCATTAATCTGTCAGATACCAATATTTATCTCTAATCTATGCCTGAGGCAGCGCTGCCAGGTTTAACCAGCGTCCTGCAGGAGAATTGTGAGAGAACATCCATCTGTTTTTGGGACAAATGAGCATCAAACAGCCATATGTTCTCTGAAAAGACTTAATGGTCAATAATGTGCGTCTGCATGACATTCTTTCACATTCATCACATGTGCTGTAGCTGCTGTTTTCTATTGAGACAGTCAAGTATCAACCACAACTTTGGTTGGCACTTCAAACAACTATCCTTTAGTAAGAAAAGCCTGAAAACAAAAGATCATTTAATTCCTTTTGTTGTGTGGGAATCTTCTACATAACAAAACAATATCAAGATCACAACCTTTGCGATCCTTTCCTAATCACTAATGTATGTACTTGAGTGGAAAAATGCTTCATATGCATATTATTATTCAACTTTTGTATGTATGCATGCGAACATGCCTTCAGGAGGGTACACTCCACTGTAAAGAAGTGTATTTGCCTGAATGACACGCACCAATTCTCACACCAGAAAAATCTAATCACACAGGGCCTCCTACGCAAGCTTGACAGGGGAAGAATCGCTGTCCATTGTGGAATAAAATAGTTACAGAGTTTATTGCCCATACTCATCATCCAGCTAAGACCTGCAGATACAACTTACAGATAAAACTTTGAGAACTTCTTTTTTGCCAAAAGTCATTCTACATTTGTGAAACGTGATCAACACAATCATCTGCCAGCTCTTAGTTATGCTGCTATAGGATTAGACTGCCGAGGGAACTGGCACATTAAGGACCTTTCCCTTCTTCTCCATCCTCTTTCTTTCTGTGTGATTGTTGTTAAATCATCCTGTCCCACTAGAGTCACAAATACACAGTCTTTTCTGGGAATTCCTGAGCTTCATCATGTCGTAGGTTCCTTTGGACCACTCCTGCAGATGTTTTGCTGCTGTGGACCTGCTGCTCAGCTCTGTCCATCTCTCTCTTTCTCCATCTCCCTCTCTCTCTCCATCTCTAAACCCAGTTCAGTCTCAGCAGATGACTGTCTAACATGAGTCTGATTCTGCTTGAGGTTTCTGCCTGATAAATAAAGTTCTTCCTCTTCACTGTAACATGATAAATGCTGTCAAGTGTTTCACTGATGTGGCTGAAGATTAGGGGATGGGAGTGGGTCTGATCTGACAGGATGGGGCTCAATCTTATCCCATCTTTACATTAGGACTTTTTAAACAGAGTCTGGTCTGGACCAGCTTTTCTTTGTTAAGTGTCTTGGGATAACACTTGTTGCAAATTGGGGCTATATACATAAATAAAGATTGATTGACTGTACTGTGTACTACCACTTAACAAGTCAAGAATCTGCCAAAGAACACTGAAAAAGGTGCGTAAGCCTTCACAATGGATTCCCTGTATGGTACAAAGTGACTGACATAAACAGGATAACTAATGACGCTACACAAAAGGAATGAAGTAACACACCATTGTAACCTTTAAGTAACCTAGAAAACTCAGAAGTGAAAGGAAACAATCAATACTGAAAGACTTATCTAAATCTGACTGCCAGTAAGCTGTGCTTTTTAACTGCGTATCCTGCAGGTAAGTTAGATTCAAATAATCATATGTTCCTTTCTTATAGAAAATGGTAAATAGACTATAACTTATATCGCACTTTTGTGATGGTCTACCCACTCAAGGCGTTGCTACCTATCATATCCTCCGGTTCACACAGCACTCAGAAGATGCTACATAAAGTGCCTGTCAGATGTGATACCTCTCATTCATATGTGTCCACATGCAGAAGTCTGTACCACCAGAAACAACTTGGGTTTCAGTGTTTTGCTCAAGAATATGCCTCAAGTTGCATAATGTAAAATCCCAGCATGTAACTTCACCATCAGTTCATACAGATGTAAAATATCAGAAACACAAAAAAAGTTGATTTTACTTATGTTTTACTTGAAGAGGTTTTTTGTGATTCTGTAAACTCACATTTTTCTCAGTTTTTCCTTTTGAGAAATGTTCATTTGCACCAGAAGACTTCTCTGATTTTTTTTTCACTCTTTCTACTGATGCAGACATGAAAATCCAGATATGGTTAGAAGAAAAACTCATATGTGCAATAAAGATCCTCCACCTGTATAGGCTGCAGAACATTCTTCAGCAGCTAGTAGTCTAATAAGGGACCTGTCTCCATCAAAAACACCATTTCATACACTTACACACAGGGGTTCTTTGTCTGCAGTTCTCTGCCACTTCAATTCAGTCTGAGACCTCAATCAGTAAAACCAATTACCCGAGAGGTCTGACTGTCTTCAACCCCAAACTCTGCCATCCATCACTTCACCACTTGTGCCTTTTTTTCACAAATAGAATATACAGGAATAACAGCCACACAAAAGAACACACAGTGTTGTCAACATCAGCACATGTCTCGATCCAGGGTCAAGGCCATTAGTGTGGACCACCCTGCTGACTGGACAACCTTTACAGAAACCGAATCCAGCACAGCCATGACACAGAACACACAGACATAGATCATTGCTGTCCTTTTTCATCAGGGAGCATTCTTCTCATACCTGAGCCCTCTTTGGTGCTGGCATGATTTGAAGTCTATGTACAAAACTGGATTATAACAGCAGCAC